AGTAAACTTCCACGGCAGTGAGATATATTTATATTAATAAATAAGAGTATTTTTTGTTACAGATAATAAATAGGAAAACCTAAATAGAGAATAAATAGGAAAGCCTAAAATAGAGAACAAATAGGAAAACCTAAAATTAATCAGGCTCCACTACCTAACATCTTCTCCAAACCCTAAGCGTAAATAACCTTTCTATTCTGAATTCCAACTTATTTTAACCCCAAATAAACCCTTAAAATGAATTAGAAGATAGATGGGTGAAAAAGCAAGTTTTCCCTTACTAAAATCCGGAGTTGGACTTTCCTTACTTCAACAACCAACTTTCTAAAGGCATATCTCCCTCATACAATATCGAAATCTTCCAAACTTGGTGCCTTTGAAGAGATCTTTCCAAGGACTTTCCAACCATATAAAAAACTGACTCTAACTCATCCTGATGTAGAAGTTAGTTTGAAAATGACCAAAAAAATATTCTTTAAACTTAGTAAATTTTCCAGATTTTTTGTATTCTTTCCTAAATGATAATTTTTTAGTTTCTTAGCTAATTCATGGATGTTACGAGTTACGAGATGTTACATAAAATGTTAGTCATTCACGCTAAGATCATTTTTGCGAGTTTTACTTGCCTGAATTCAATTTTGGAAAGTCGTACGGATTCCTTAATGTCTTAGATATCCACTCATGTGTTCAAGTTCATAATTCGATATCTCATTCATTATCAGATTTCCCTAGACATCAATTACTCCAATTTCTTCCAAATCTGGACTAAGTTGAGAAATTTTAAGTTACTACCAAATGATTTTCTTGCACAATTCTTTTCCATTGACTTTTTTCGAATGATGAAATCATGTCATCACAATAGATATAAATTTACCCATCACTCGTCCTCGAGTGATCAACTAGGAAAGATTGGCTAAAGAAAGGGTAGATTAGTACCTGATTGCTAAACAACTGAAGATACTTGTCTCGCATGTCTTTAGCTTACGGACATTGCAATCAATAATTCAATCATTTTTTCCTCATTAGGAAGGTCTTGTTTAACAAAATTGAGTCTCACTTTATATGATATAATCACTATCCCCAAACTAGCCAATTGAATACCTACACATCCTCCGATACAATTTCTCAACAAAGTCATCAAAATACTCGAGTGATAATTATTGTTGTATGTACACATTAATAAAAACATAGCTATTCCCAATAACCACCAAAGTTGATCGTACACATTTCCGCAACATGTTATCAAGGACTTCCACACAACATCGGGACAAATCCTTTCTCGCATAACCATAATAAAATTCTAATCAATATTCATTACCATTAGAGGTGGACTTGAACCAACAAACACACACTCATGATACTCGAATAATCATAGTTCTTATCAACATATATTTCTCACAACATAAATTTTCATGAGCTTAAGTTATAAAGATTTGATATTTAGACATCAAATGTTCATCGAGGATATGCCCAAGTTTACAAACCCTCCAATAACACCATTAAAGTGTTAGACTTAATAATTAGAGACTCTTAAGAACGGTAGAATCAAACCCAATGATTTCAACATTCAACCACACATAATCGATACATGACCTTAACGACTAGATGAAAATTAAGATTATCATACAACCATAAATACGCATGGTAGCTTTTCTATAAACTCTCATAAGCAAGGTGGTACATGTAAGACCACTAAAATACTTTAACAACTCCAAAAGAATACCACATAAGTTATCTGAAATAAACACGTCTTTTCAAATCATCCCACAAAATGAAAACACGTGTGGGCATAGCTAGTGCATCACTGTCACGACCATGTATAAAATCAGATAGATAGTAACACAAAATATTATTGAATAACACAAAAGGTTTCCTTTAAAGAGTCGATACCAACTATTTATATTCACTTAACTCCATATACTCTTCACACCCTTCCACTGAAGCCCACACTCTCAATACCAACAATCATCATAAGCACTCCGAACATTTACCTTACTCTAAATCAACATTTTTTAAATGAAAACCTTCTTTAGGTACTTTAATAATCAACTTTACGACTCAACCAACGTGGAACTCCTTTCCAATGTTCAATACATGATACTATTGATCATTCCTCACCTTGCAAATTCATACCTTGACAAAATATATCACAACGAATGTAGACTTCCAATGAAAAATCTGAATTGTTAATTCAGTTGTACAACAAAATCCCTTTATCTATCAACATTAGCTTATACCTTGAAGATTTTTATGAATTCATGGATCCTTTCTTATCATGAATCGCACCTCCATAAATCTCACATATCATTCGCTAACAATTCAATCGTAATCATTACTAAAATCAAAACAAAACAAAAAACTTATTAACACATTCAAGCTAATGTTTGTACACTCATTTCTCAAGTCTTTTCGAATAGTTTTCCCTTATTTGAGAAGTCTCTGACCCAAACGACGGTTTAACCAATCTGATGGACTTATGACATTGTTACCATAGTCATAACAAAATGAACTGAATCACGCGTCTCCGAACCCAATTATCTACCCCTCTCAAGATATCTCTTTGGCCTGTGCAATCAAGAAAATACTCTTGTCCTCGTCTCTCTCTAAGGTTTGTACTACATTCCACTATATTTCCTCATTATGACTCTAGCTCTTTTAAGATCTATTTGAGTGGTACCCCACTATCTCTTTAAACTTCTCATACAACTATGTTACTCGCCAAATATTAAAATTATAAATCACAACCTTAGATATTCGCAAGTCATAATTATTATACAAAATTTGCTTAACCTACAATCTTATGATATAGTTGTATTCCATCCCAATCCATCGAAAACTCATACTACCATTACACTTGGTTACCCCTGGCTATCATTAAGAGTTAATCTTTCATCGACATAACACTTCTAACTCAGGTATACTCATCAAATTCAAAGGACTAACCCATATGCACTTTCTTACTAAAATATTATAATTACCTTCACCCAAGTATACTTTTGGGACTTTCTTTATCCATAAGCTTGTCATTCTGGTATCAATTCACTCATGATAAAATCATCAATCCTCGCACCACCATCCTTTTTCTTAACAAACAAAACAGAAGCACCCACGTGGAAACACTTGGACGATAAAACATTTATCAAGAAGCTCTTGGATTTTGAGAATTCATCTGTCTCAATTCTTCCAAAATCATATACCAAAAATCAAAGAGAGAATAAGAAAATTCTTACAAAATCACATACCAAAAATGCTGTAAAAAACGAACATATTCCCTCCTATTTATACGGCTAACCTTTACTTTCCTATGCTCAAAATCCACCCTAGAAAATATGAAGAAAGAGGAAAAATCCATTGTTAGTATAAATCATAAATGTTGCACTGAAAAATAAAAGAAAAAAAACGCAAAGAGAATCCAATGGTAAAATGTAAATGGCATATCAATAATCTCAAATGAAGATACTCAAAAATGAGAAGAAGTCAGAAATTCATAATCAAACACCCAACAATAACCCAGCAAAAACATAAAAACAAAATCAAAGAAAGAACGGGAGAACCAAAGCGAAAAACTATTTATCCAAAATAGAGACTTACCTTATATTTCATCATCATCTTCCCGTCTATTGCGCAAAAACATAAAATTTCTGGTCTTCTATGTAGATATGAAGAAATATATCCATTTAATGAGAAAGATGAATGAAACCTGAAGACGGAAAAAATTAAATCAAAAGAGGAAAAGGCAGTTACCATAGATACAATTGTAAATCAACATAGTAGATACTATTGTAAGACTTCAAAATGTACTGAATTATCTCAAGATGCTATATGGTTCTGCATCAAATCCTATTTTATAGGACACTTGCAAAACCAACATAAAATAAGGAAGAAACTTGAATGGATTGTGTCATAGTTCTTGAGGAGCTTTTGGCAGTACCAGCTTTAATTAATATTTATCGAGGAGTAATATTATCTCAAAAGTGTATGCCTTATAGCTCAAAGTAGATTAATGTGCAACTCTTGTTGCTGTTATGTCAAATAACCAAAAAGAATGAAACGAAGCATGTCAAGACAACTTCCTTCTCGTGTCAATCAAATACAAATTTTCCAAATGAAAATGATCCTTTTCGTGGGAACCAAATGAACTAAAATGTGCTCCTACCTTCTAATCTTTGTGTGATGTCAAGATTGTAAACTGAGTCTATATAGATCAAAAGATAGTTCAAATCAGTTTGAAAAAGACTACTAAGTAATGACAAAAATCCAATATTATTTGCAAACAGAGACCAAGATAATTGTGAGAGACAAGATTAGGTTTCAACAAAATATGATCCCTTCATTATTTACAATTAGAGAAGTATCAATCTAAGCCTCCTAACTCTTCAATCTGATCAAAGAAGAGAAAAAATTACATGCACTTCTTAATGAACTTTGATATTATAGTGTCTAATAAACATTTGATTTGACCATATATGAAAACCTTAAAGATAAGAGCATGAGAAGACAAAATTTCTGGAGCAGAAAACACAAAATATTTCACAAGCAACCAGTGATAAAAGCTTTGTTATACCATTAAACACGAGCACAAGAGAACATAGAACCCTCATATATCCATAATCTCTGAGATAATTTAAGATGATAGAAGATAGAAGAAAAACACAGTTCTATTTTTTTTTAACAATTCATATTTTTGGAACGAACTAGGGTTATAATATCCAATTAAGAAAGTGAAAAGAAGCCATCTTTGAATATTTGAAAAGTAAAGATAATGAATTAATGACTGATTAAGAGTAAGAAACAACAAATAGTCACACAAAAGTGGGAATTTTGAAGTTAATCGAAGAGATTTTAGCAAAAATGCGAATAAACATACTTGGAAACAATCTCAACCCAATAGTCTTGAAAATCTAAGGAAACTCAAAGTCTCAACCCATTAGTCTTGAAAATCCAAGAAAACTAATGAAGATTAATGCAAATGAGATATTTATTTATTTTCATTGGAAGAGTGGAGAAAGATATAGATGCTTCTAGAGTAAAAAAACAATAAAGCCTTGTTTTGAGCAAGAGTACACGGGTTATCAATAAATATACTAGTTATAATTTGCCCTTGTACTTTGATTTAATATTAACTTTGTCATTGGTCGTCCTGTCTCGATACTTTTATATGATAAAAATAATTATATATATATATAATTTTGTATGTTTAGATAATGAAGAATTACATAAACGAAACTCAAACCTTAATATTATGTTTTAGGTAGGGGTCGATGTAGTTCAAAGAGTATAACAGATTTATTTTAATACCGTAGATTATAGGTTTTATAGGTAAAAAAGTTCTAAGAATGATAATAAATATTAGATGTGAACCCATAGCCCCATAATTATTTTTTTTAAAAGGAAAAAGGATAAAAAATATTTAAAAAACAGAAAAATTTACATGTATGATGACTGAGAATATAATTAAATAATAAGAGTGTGGTCTCTCTAACATGTTAAACTTTTAGATAAGATGGTCACACACTTTAGAATTGTATTAGAGTTAGTTCCATCCCAGTTTGTTGTTCACCGATGTTGGACCCCTATTTAGAAGTGTTCACACTTCACTTGAGGTCTGGACGTGGGGGGAGCGTTAAGAAGTCCCATATCGATAAAGGAATGAGAATTTGGTCTACTTATATGGACTTGGACAAACCTTTCCTAATGAACTAGCTTGGTGGTTGAGTTAGGTTTAGGTATGTTAGGTGGTCAGGTGTCATATCTTTGCATTGACGGCACGTGTTATACAAAGTAACTTACTTGATTGAAAGTGGTATATCAACACAAAATGAGTTGTGATAATAATTAGGGATATTTATGTCTTTAACCCATAAAACTATTATATTTAAGTTTAAATACTAAGAAACTCTAATTTGAACATAAAGCAAAAAATATGAATTCGCATATGATCGTAGGAGGAAAAAATTACTTTAGCAGTTGTTGCTTACTTATTTATATGAGGTTATAATTCATCCAACACGATTATTCAAAATGAAGAAAAATTATGGGTTAAATGCGAATAAAATTTTTGTCAATGATTGAGATGTTCAGTTGACTGTCTCCCCTACAAACAAGGTCCCATTTTGTCATTTATCGAAATGTGACCCCCAAAAGGAGTTAGAATGTTAGGCATGTACAAAATGTAGAAATAGAGTTTGAGACTCTTTAGGCTCTTCTCTCTACGCTTTTTCTATTTAGCCTCACTTACATTTGAATATCAAGGGGACCATTTAACAAAGTTGTGAATTTCATTTGAAACAAATTAACATATACATGTTGTGGTAAACTTTAAAGGTAATACAAGTGTAAGAAATATAGTATATACAATTTAAATACATTCTCTTTTATTGCGTTAGAGTAGGCATTTGAAGTGGTCATCAAATTACAATTTCACAACATTTTGTCATGTATACAAATTTCAACAAATAGTAATCTTTTCTTTAGTTCAACTAATATTTTTCAAGATCGATCTCAAAGTTCATAGAAATGCCTAAAAATAGTGTATGGTTGACAACAATTCCTCTCAAATCTCATAATTGACATCTCTATATAAATCGCTAGACGCTTCACCTAATAATTCACCAGTAAACCAAAGTTGATTAAAGAAATCGTCTTAGAAAATCTAACTATTATTAGTTTATTTATGTTCCGAGTTGGGATGGGAAAGATAAGGATATTGTTATTTCTCGTATTGATACTTTTCTCGGCACTGGTTGCGTGTGTTGATGGATTTCACGTAGACCAGGAAAGTGAACAAAGGACACAAGGAGAACAATGGTTCTTGTTGCGTCACTTGCATAATGTTGTGAAAACGGATGCCGGGTCTATGAGATTTGTGAAAGGTGGCTATCGTAGGGGTTCATTTTTACATAGTCCAATGCATATTGGTTTCATCTCCATGGAACCAAATAGCCTCTTCATCCCTCAATATCTTGATTCAAATCTTGTCATCTTTGTTCATCATGGTAATTTCACTCCTATCTTCTTTCTAGATCGTTTGCAATATCTCTTTTAAGATTATAATTTCTTGTATACACTACCACAACAACAATAACATATTCAGGGTACTTCACAAACCTTACTCCTATCTTGGGAGTTAGATAGACTGTTTCTGATCGTTCATAATATGTCTTTTAAGATTATAACTTTTTTTATACTCTACGACAACAACAATAACATATTCACGGTACGTTGGGAGGTAGATAGACTTTTTCTGATCTTTCACAATATCTCTTTTAAGATCATAACTTCTTTAACACTACAACAACAACAATAACATATTCAGTGTAAGTCATAAACCTGACCCCTACCTTTGGGAGGTAGAGAGATTGTTTTTGATACTCATATAAATGATAGGATTTCATAAAAAGGTGGGACTTGTAACATAAAAAACGTAACATGTCAAAATACTCGGATAGTGTAAAATTTAAAATTTTTGCTAGGATTATCATTTTTTTTATTGGATTAAATATAGGGGAAGCAAGAGTTGGACATATCTACAAGGATCAATTAGAAGAAAGGAGTTTGAAGCCAGGAGATGTGTATACAATTCCTGCTGGATCAGCTTTTTATTTAGAGAATAGAGTTGAAAGCAAAAGACTTCAAATTATTTGCAGCATTGACATTACCTCTGAATCCATGGGATGGCATGCTTTCCAGGTACCCTAGCTAACTGCAGTGACGAAGCTAGAAATTCATTAAAGGGGTATAAGACTTAATATGTTCATATGAAAAATAATTTTTGACATGTATTTTGTATGATTTTCTATAGAAATAGTAGTATTTATTTTTCAACGAAGGGTATTCAACTGGTTACTACATTTAGCTATGCAACTGACGCTGAGTTGTTTTTTAATCTCCTTTTCTTACCTTTAGTCATATACTCTGTTTTTTCCGAAAACTTTGTAACTCGTTATGTTTTGCAGTCATTCTTCATTGGTGGTGGAAGTAATCCCTCGTCCGTTCTTGCTGGATTCGATCATACTACATTATCAACTGCTCTTAATGTACATTTCTTACTATTTCTTTCAGTCTAGATATACATACTCAAAGTTGGATTTTTTACTTGTCAGCGAAATTCAAGTTTTGAGTGTTCGCATATGTGTTATGATAGGTTTCAACAGCAGAAGTACACGCGCTCTTGACCAGACAATCGTCTGGACCAATCGTACATTTATCTGGTTCTCATCATGACGCGAACGTTTGGTCCAACTTCTTGGACCTAGAACCCCATGAAAGACTAGCTAATTTGAAGAGAATTGTGAATTTTGATGAAGAAGTTAGCCCCAAAGAGGAGAAATCAAGATGGTCATTTAGGAAATTTTTGTTTACTTTGTTAAACGGTGAAGATGTTATCGAGAGAGTGAATCATAAAGCCCCATCAACGTACAATATCTACAACAAGAAGCCCGATTTCAAGAATGACTTTGGATGGAGCAAGAAGGTGGATTCATCTGATTATTCTCCTCTAGAGCAATCAGGACATGGCGTGTATCTTGTCAATCTATCTCCGGTAATTGAATGATTCATGTATATAATAATGTGGATGGATATACATGTTTGTTCGAATTTTATATGTTTTATCTACGTTTCTTTCTATGTAAATGTAGGGATCCCTTATGGCGCCTCATATCAATCCATCAGCAATCGAGTATGGAGTTGTGTTGAGAGGGACAGGCAGGATTCAAATTGTGTATCCGAATGGTACTTTAGCAATGAATGCTAAAGTATGCGAAGGAGACGTTTTTTGGGTGCCAAGGTACTTTCCGTTTTGCCAAATTGCATCAACGAATAGCCCGTTGGAGTTCTTTGGCTTCACTACATCAGCAAAGAGGAACCATCAACAGTTCTTGGTAGGTAAAAACTCATTGATGCAGAGTTTGAGAGGGCGAGAATTTGCAGCTGCATTTGGAATTGATGAGAAAAGGCTTAAGAGGATTGCTAATGCTCAACGCGAACAAGTCATCTTGCCATCGCGTTCCTCTAAGGATGAACTGGAGTTTTAGTTAGTCTAGTTCAATTACCGCACCAGTCTGGTGTAAACCTCATTCTCTTTTTGTTTGATTTGAGTTTTCTTAATTACTCGTTTTGTTTTGGAGATGATCAGAATTTTCCCTATTGAGTTGTTAATAAAACCGATTTTGTTAATCTTACAACATGATTCCGTTTTTGGTTTGAACTCCGTTATCCAACTTTCAAATTTCAATGTGATTTTTTTTTTAAATTAGTGGACCAAGTCTATATTGGTGGCTCTAGTATTTATACTAGAGTGGTTAAGATATCTTTTTCTTATCCATTCTTATAAGCTTTAACTTTTTTGTGGATCCACTAATTATTATTGTGTATGATTAATAATTATTGGTAAATGCTCCCATATACGTCTAGTTTAGAAGAACAATTATTAGAAAACTGCCATGCTGAATGCTACAAGCCCGTGACCCCTTTGTTGATGTCATTTATCTAATGATCCATTTATTTGAACTTATAATAAAGTTATACAATCAATTATTATCTCTTTATATTTAAGAAAAACAGTTTGATTATCACGCTATATATATGTAATAAATAAATAAAACAAATGAAAAGGTAAGGAAAGAGGTTTCATGTTAGCCAAAAAGTACTTAAACTTTTAACTTTGGTTAAATTTGAATTCGAGTTTTACTAGTAAGGAAGGGAGGGTAAAGGTTAGTTTCTGTAGTTCAAGGATATTGTCGGTCTTTAGTTTTATTTATTAATAAGCTAATAAGTCAACTGGGCTTCAATTATATTAGGAATCATTTGATGTGAGATATAAAATATAATAGTTTAAAATAAAATGTACAATTATTTTATTCTGTGTTTGGTTAAAACTATTAAGTAATTCTTGAATTACTTATCTCACTATTTATATCTTAGTGATGAGATAAGTTATCTCATATATATGATAAAATAATTTATCATGAGATGACCAAAAAATTTGTTGCCAACTTAAAAGATATATTTTTAATTTTACATAATTTAGAAACATATTTAACCTTCCTCCGTTTAAAAAAAAAAAAAGGTTTAAGTTACAAGCACATGGAAAGAACATAATGCGTGTGTAGTGTGCGTTTGTTAATATGTCTAGTCTAGTGTCTAAC